AGGGTGTACTGATGAGTGTTATTGCACATGATACGAAGAATCATGTTTATCCAATTTCCTTTTGTGTCGTCGACAAAGATAACGATGCATATTGGACGTTCTTCTTTGAAAACTTGAAGGATATTTTGGCCAAATTTATGTTTTATTTCTAATAGATGCAAGAGAATTTCCATCGATATTGCAAAGGATTACAATCATTCTCATCATAAATATATCTTTGGGTAAATCACCAATGTGGTGATTCCCTCTATCTAATACTACAACGCGGAAATGGCATATTCTTTGGAGGAGTTCAAAGATCATTTTTTGGAATTCAAGAACAAATCCCCCGAGGCAACCTTTGTACTTGAGTATGATGTTCGGCTTGAAAAGTGGAATAGAGCATATTTCCCAAGCAACATGTATGTTGTGCTGACCACAAATATTGCCGAGTCACTCAGCGTTATATTTACAGATGTAAGAGAGTTGGTTGCATCCATATTTAATTCAATTGCTAAGAGAATTGGAGAACCTTTTAGTGAGAGACATGTGTATGTCCTTAAATCAAAGGGTAATAAAATGGTGCATGCTGCTGAAAGGATCGTAAGAAAAAAAAATGCTGGAGGGCGACTCCTTGTACGTAGAGAACATATATGGAGATGAAAATCAATTCACCGTGTTCATCGCAGGTTCTACTTCCGCTGTAACCTACTAGAAAAATCATGTTCTTGTAGGGAATATGACTTGGTCAAGACATCGTGTGCTCACACAATGATCGCTTTGAGATTGAAGCATGTCAATGAGTATGGCGTGAGCATCTACGTATATGCTTGCCTTTATTTAAGTTGACACATACCTCCTTGCATACTTTTAATCTATAAATGTTGTCCCTATCGAATCGACATGGTGTGTGTCAGAAGAATTGTTAAGCGTGAATATTCTTCCACCCCTTGGCGATACCAAGCTTGAAAGGAAGAAAAGAAAATGTTTCAAGGGTGTAAACGAAAATTTCAAAATCAAGAGGATTAACAAATGTTCACTTTGTAAGAGATCCAGACATAAGATAATTAGATGTATAAACAACAACAAGTCTTAGATAGATTTTACTAATTATGTTTTTGTAACTAAGCTACTGGATGAAGGTTTTGTTTATTTTGGACCCTAATATTTTGGTCAATGTAATGTCAATTATTACCAAATTTACTCATGATCTTATATAGAGGACATACATTTTGTACACTGTCTATTAATGTTTTATTATTGAGTGAAATCGTAGTGTATAAATGTGTCTATAACTAATGTATGGAAATTTATGATAATGCAATGATTTTAATGTATGCATTAAAGTTTAGTTTTTACCAAAAAATTGCTTTTATGTTTTTCCTCCATTACAACCGTAATTTTCCTCATACATATTATTTTTAATTCCCAAAATAAATAAAAATTGCATAATAAAATAACATGTGGATAACTAATCAAACATATAACTAATACAAGTAATATATACTTCACCAAATGACACGTTAAAGAATTGCCACAAAATCAAATGTTCACATTGAAAAACCAGCAATTTGTACTATGTTACCATTGTAAAATTTGGAAAATTGAGTATAGTCACGATTGATCAAAATATATGGATAATTAATACAACTGATACTTTTTCATGTGCTTGGTTTATATTGTACAACAACGTCGACACTTCAATAGTAATAAGGTATATGCGGATTGATATCATGATCCAAACATGACCTAATACTTCACCTACTAGAATATGAGGCTTAAATATTGACCATAGCTAGTATAATTTAAAAGGAGAATGATTAACTAATAATACAGTATATTATTGAAATTTATTCAATAAAATAAGTTTAAACAAGTCATTTAAGGGTCCACATACACTGGGTAGAGATAAATGATGTATAAGAAAGAGTTGTAGTTATACAATCAACATCTTTAGTGTGATGTGAGAGAAAGCACAACTATATTGAGAGAATGTTGATTGTTCAACCCATACTCTTCCAAAATATCATGTAAGGTTCCATACAAATTGAAGATGGTTATCTATAATGTATGAGTGGTGATCAATAAACCATGCCATTGACCAATGTTTCTACCATTTCTGCCACAGTTGGATTTTCTGCACATCTACCAACAAATTGTACTTCGACTTCAACTAAGCAACATAAAGGTCTCCCACTAAACTAACACGTTATGGATGACTTAGACTTTGACTAAGAAGCACACAATGTTGCTCACTAAATCTGTTAACCTAAACTGATTTAGAATTTTTAACCAAACACAATATCTTAATCCTTTATAGATTAGGAATAAATTTACAATGCGCATGCAGAAGAAATAAACCTAAGACAAGTAAGCTTGCAGCTCTATCAAGTCTCTGTTGTTCTTGAAGATGATTTTTCACTTGAGTGTTAGCCTATGCAAGAGTTCTTGAGAATTTTCAAGTACAAAAAGTAAGGTTGTACCTATTGATCATAATCTTTATGAAGAATAGTCACAACATTCGAAACCATGCCATTGACGGAGCTTTCTACCATTTCTGCCATTTCTGCTACAGTTGGAGACTATGCACCAACCAATTTTACTTTTTCCAGCCTGACAATGGTGTATACATTTGCACAAGTGATCAGGTGCCTTTACAAGGTCCCCCTAAGTTTGTCAAATCATCAAAACTACAAATAACAATTTGTATTTGTATAATAGTTAGTAATTTTTACTTTATGCACTTTTAGTAAATTTTATATTAAGAATGTATTCATTTATAAGGAATATATATGTAGGGGTGTGCATCGGTCGGTTCAGTTTGGTTTTACATATAATCGGTTCGGTTTATCGATTTTCGGTTTTAAAATATGCTAACCCAATAACAAACCATAAAAATTTTTTTATCGGTTTATCGGTTTTTGATGTTGTCGATTTGGTTTCGGCTAACCCAATAAGAAAATGTCGATCAAATAATATATAATAGTACGTATATTATAATTAAATGTTACAAACTTACCGCCAAAACATAATAGAAAACTTTTAATGTTGATCAAATTACTAACATTCACAAACTTGTAAAAGCTATCGCCTACAATTACGAACTAGAATTAAAACTAAAATAAAATATTTCAATGAGACAATCTTGAACAGTTGCTTGCTCCACCAGATAATCAACAAAGTTCTCACCAATTTCCTAACCAAAAAATCACATAGCTTGAAAAGCTAATATTGAATCTATTTTATGTATTAAATTATGTATATTTAATATTGAGGAAGGGTAAAGTAGTAAATAACTATCGTATTATTGGGTTATCGGTTTACCCAATAACCCAATAGGAAAAACCGAAACTGACCCAATAACCCAATAATTATTTTTTCTAAACCTATTAAAAATCTAATAACCCAATTACCCAACAACAATAACCCAATAATATTTTATCGGTTCAATTTATTGGTCGGTTCGGTTTTTGCACACCCCTATATATATGTACTCTCTAGTATGAAAATGATGTTTTTTTAAAAACTAAATACCAATAAATTTGAAAGGGATAAAATATGTAATTTGTAATGAAAAATTTACATGCAATTCACGTATCAAAACTCGTTAAAACTAAAAATATCAAGAATGTCCCATCAATTCTTAAAATATGCAATACAAAATATTACATTAGACACTAAACAAATATAGAAAAATAACAGAAATTAGACTATATGTGAGTTTCTGCCACGTTACATTTGCTTAACATTTTCCTCTCTGTATAGTGTGTTTGAAAGTCAAGTCATCTGCTTTCGGACGAAGAAAACTAGTATTCACATATTTTAGAATTTGAAGGTCACTTTTTTCATCCATAAATTAGTTTTAATTAAAGAAAGAATCATCACTTTCACTTTTGCTTTTTAACAAACTTTCCTACTTCCTTTTATAAAAGTTGGCGTGGGGGATGACTCAACATGCATGGATTTTATAATTCATTGTGCGTGCATTCATAGATAGATAATAAAAATTCTCAATTAGAGTGAAATGTCATTTATAAAACTTTTTTTTCTTATTTTCATTAGAAAAAAATAATTTCCTTATATTTAAGTAACCTACTAGTAAGAACAATATGTTTCAAAACATTTTTTACCGATTAGATATGAGAAAAATCGAATATTATTTTGAAACATATTTTCCTCCTTACCAAACACATCAAGTCACATTTTGATGAATGAAGAATTTTTTAACATTACTGTTGATTATTTTTCTCGTCCATTAGAGTAGGGCATGTGATTCGCTTTGATCTTTTTCTTCTTTTTTACCAATAATTCTAATGACATGTGGAGTAGAGTAATAATTCATAGAAACAATTCTCTTTAATTTTATTTATGTTTCTTCATCTTATAATTACCACAAGGTTAGTGTTTATTCTATCAGAATCCATGGCATATTATTTTTCAATTGCGAGTGATTCTTAATACTGTCCTCGATGGAAGTACATTATCTTTCTAATTTTTAGTGGCGAAGACACTCGGAGAACATTTACGGGTCACTTGTATGAATGCTTTAAAAATAAGAGAATATTCACCTCTCAAAATGACAAAAAGCTAGAGCACGGTGCATCTATCTCAGATGAACTTGAAATCTATTGAAGAGTCTCAAGTTGCCCTCGTTGTTTTCTCAAAGAATTATGCTAAGTCAAGGTGGTTCTTGGATGAACTACTGAAGATTTTGGATTCCAAGACTCAATATGGACAAACAGTCGTACCGGTGTTCTATGATGTGGATCCATCAGAAGTTCGAAACCAAAAGGAAAGATTTGCATAAACCTTTGGCAAACACGAATCAAAGTATAAGGATGATGGTAATCTGGGAATGCAGAAGGTGAAAAGATGGAGGATTGCACTAAGTTCTGCTGCGGATCTAAAAGGACATGACATATGCCCAAGGGTGAGTATAAAAAGAGTTAGATTTATGTGAAGTACTTACTAATATATATTTTTTTCATCTATTCACAATTAATTTTCTCATTTGTGTAGGATTGAATCAGAGAATATTCAACAAATTGTCAACTAAATCTCTTCATATTATGAAAGATACCTTTATCTTATTTACAAGATATTGTCGGAATAAAAGCCCATTTAGAGAATGTAAAATCCCTACTAATGATGGAAAGCAATGATGTTCGGATTCTGGGAATATGGGGAATGGAAATAGTCGGTAAAATGATAATAGTAAGAGCGAATTTTGATATGCTCTCACCTCAATTTGATGGTGCTTGTTTCCTAGCGCATATAAAGAAAATAAAGAAATGCAATCTTTGCAAAATATCGTTCTCTCTGAACTGCCAAGGTAAAAAACAAGAATACACAAATAATATGGAGGACCGGAAGCACTTGATGGCTCGTAGACTTCATTTTAAGAAGGTCTTAGTTGTGCTTGATGACATAAATCACGGAGACCATTTGAATGACTTAACATGGGTTCTTGATTGGTTCAGCAAGGGAAGTAGGATTATTGCAACAAAAAGAGACAAACATTTGATAGAAAAAAATGTAGTGTATGAAGTGACTTTACCAATTGATCATCAATTGTTCAATCAACAAGCTTTCAAGGAGGAAGTTCCAGATAATTCATTTGAGAAGCTAACGTTGGAGGTGGTAGGTCATGCGAATGGACTTCCTTTAGCCCTAAATGCGTGGGGTTCTTTCTTACATAATAGGGGCATAACTGCGTGGAGAAGTGCTACAGAGCAAATGAAAATGAACTCAAAACCAGAAATCGTTGAAAAACTCAAAATTAGCTATGATGTATTTCTAGATCTAGCATTCTTCATATGAGGGGAAACATAAGATAAATCATGCAAATTCTTGAGAGTTTATATTCTGGAGTAAGTATCGTGTTGAGTGTCCTAATTGAAAAATCTCTTCTGTTCATCTCTAGTGGTACAAATAAATTGCATGACTTAATACAAGATATGAGTAAATATTCAGTAAAAATGCATAAGGATGATCCGGGTGAATATCGCAGGCTATGGGATGCTAAAGATTTCGAAGAAGTGAGGGTCAACAATATAGTAAGTAGACTACGATGCAATAATATTCAATTTATGGTTTTCATATGCCAACATTTGTTTATCCTATGCTATTATGTCATGATTTAGTCTAGTAGCCGCTTAAAATGTTTTTTATGTAAAACTTCATAAACTTGTTTACACTTTTAAAAAAGAATTAATTGTAAGGTAAATTGAAAACATTGTAATTAATTTCTATCTTCATTTCATAAATTGACAATTAATTTGAGATAACTATTTTTATTAATGTAAACAACTAATATGAGTTAATGGTCTTTCTACCTTCACGAAATAATGGTAACATCTAGGGACACTCCATTCTTCTTAGACCATACTTTTGAGATTCCACTAGATATATTATTATTATTATTATTATTGTTATTGGATAATTAATATGAGACATAAGAAGTATACGTTAAAGAAAATTGTATCTAATAATTTTACAATAAAGAAAAATACTAACAGTAAAAGCAAAGCATTAATCTTCACCTAAAATAATTCTCCAACCATATCCCCCTTTCCACATTTAGATCCAAAAACTTTTACCCCAAACGTTAAAATTTTTTGAAGATCAAAAGTTCCCCACAAAATTTTAAAACCCATTTAATAAAACCCAGATATCCTTTTCGCTTTTCACATATCCTTCTTGTCCTCCCTTTCTCCATTTGTTCAATTTTTTTGTTTCTAATATTTATTTTTTGTAGGTTTTACATAGCATTCTTCAAGCAGATGGGATAAGTTTTCACAATATGAAGTTTTTGTTACTTAGTTGTATGTTCTGAATTTTCTATTATGTATTGGTTCAAGAAATGATTAAGCCACAAATTATTAATCATGCACAATCAGATTCTATATTTTTACAAGAGATTATTGTCCTATCTTGAGTCGATGGGTATTATAATGGATTGTATATGTTTATTAATGTAAAAGAAATATTCTGATAAGGTATAAATTTCATAATTGATACTCAAATTTGAGATCTATATCTACATGTTTTAAGAAGTTTAAAAGTATAAGATTTGCTTACTCCTTAGTTTTCTTTGTATTAGTTTTTATTTGCTAAACATTGATCATAGACAAATATATTTTTTCCTTGAAGGTTTAAATCATTATATTCTCGGTGCTACAAGATTTACCATTATGATAGGCATATTTATGGAAAAAAAGCATACAACTGACAAATTGGAACCCAGTATGGGGAGGGAATGAGAAGAAAGCCTATTTGCAGGCAACAAGGATTTGCTGCTTTCTTAGTTAGAAAAAGGAGTTTGAAGATTGTAGAAGGAGAGATAGGAGAAGACTATGTTGCGTTGGATTTAAACAAGATGATGTCTTACAAGAATTGTATATTATGACTATTCTCAAAATTTTAGAACACAATTATATGTAATTTGAGAATTATTTTGGAATATAAAAAATGTATTCGTGGTTACATTATGTAACTTATTTGACTAACAAAGTTTGTGGAAAACCCTTTCAAATATGTAATTACAAAATTATTGAATTTATTTTTTAGTTACATTATAAAATTCTTATGATTGGTAATGTTTATGTCAGTATTATTCAATTTGTTGCAATGAATTTTTGTAATTACGATAAAATATATATGTAATTATAATAAATAAGGCGATACATTTTCACTTTTCATAGAAAAATTAAAAATATCAGCTATAATTAATGTATGACTGTATGTCATGGCAAAAAGTTTGAGATCTTAGCTTTGTGAAAAAAAAATATTTGTGGCAATGCACTACTTTATAGCTATATTTTTTTAAAAAATTTGTAGCTCAATACAAGTATAATTGCCACAAGAATAAAAATATAAAAGAGCCACATATTTTAAATTTTCATAGAAAAAATAAGTCATTTGCATCAATATAAAGTTTGCTATTTATTTAAATTGTTGTGGCAAAAGAGTAAAATTATTTTGCTATAAGTATATATTTTGTAGCAAGAATTTTGTACTATTATAGCCACAATCAAATTGTTGTAGTAGCTATAAGTATTAGTCTTTAGCCACAGACCACGTAAAGTTTGTAACTAACTTTTAATCACCCTACATCTTGCCACGAATGCTACGAAAAACTATTTTGTGGCCAAAGCATTTAGCTACGGAAAATTTCATATTCAAGTACAATGTGTTTTATAGACTTAAATGCATTTTCTTATAGTGCATATAAATTATCGTATTTATATATACATCAGTTTTTTTTGTATTTTACATACATCAAATAGTTATTTGTATTTTGGATACACACAAAGTTGACAGCATGTTTTAAAAAACTTTTCTTTATATTGCACTTGCTTTTAAATTGCTTTATATTGTAATGAATCAATTATGTTGAGTTGAGCTAGGTAAGTTGTTTAGTTTCCTTCATATTCTTTCTAGATTATGTTTTTCAACATTCCAACTCGCATACTCGTACATAAAATGTACTGATGTCAAATGCCCTGCATCGCATTATGATGCAAACGCAGCTAATGAGGATCAACATCAAACGCACCGTTGATCCAATTAAGCACTCCAGAGACAGTTGGTGAGCCTCCTTGCATTCCGGAGTACTGCTTTTGTTGCTTTTCAATATTTTTCTTTATTTGTATGTTGTGGGGTATGTTCCCACATCCATCAAAGTTGTTTTAGAGACTTCATAGATAGTAAGACAGTCATATATGAGTCTTTTAGCTTTGTATTTAAGATGTTTTGCTATGAGACTTGAGTAGCCATTTTGTGTAATTGACTGCTTTCTTTTAAGACATACTCAGTTTATTTCACAAGTTCTTTATGTAGACTATTCTTGTGTTTTAAGTCTTATGCTGAGTTAAGTAAGTCAGGTTAGGGGTTCTCTTGAGGCCAACAATGATCTCCGAGTGCAAGCCACGTTTGGGGTGTAAGCTCGGGGCGTGACAATTTTCTTATGGATTATTATCACCTTTTTTCAAGGATGCCTAATAGAGCTGAACGAGTTGCTTAGATGATCGATAGAAACGTGACCAGTCATCCATTCCTCCACATCTATGGCATACACTTTTTGAATTTTTCTTTTGCCTCACTTTTTATTTTTTACCCAAATTTTATACTGCTACTCATTTTTTTGTGCAAGATAACCATCATGATTATAGTTTATTTCACGATCACGACCAGCACGAACAGGGCCACGACACGACCACGACCACGATCAGAGCCACAACCTCTTTTTCATATGGTGATAATTAGTCTGATTCACTTCAGGGAGTGGCATATTAACTAATGAGTCAACTTTCATAATTTTTCATTAAAAAATCGTTATGTTGTTTAGCAATAAAAAGATGTGAAAGTAATTTAAAATATTTTTTAAAACCCATTTTTTCAATATTGGTGCCGCAAGAGCATACTTGAGGAAGGAAGTATGGAGTATGTTTTCTCAAGCTTAGCATATTCAGAAACATTATCTCCGCATAAATTTAATTGTAATATAGTTCTATACATGGAAGAATTATATTTAGTCATACTTTTTAAGTCTAGTAACCTCAAATTGAACCAATCATTACGCGCCTGTGGAAGATTGACCAACTTCAAGTGGTCATATTTACCTTTCAAATTATTTCACAGCATAAGAGAGTCGTTAATAGTGATGTATTGCATTTTCAACCCTTCATCAAGATAGTGCGTGAAAAATATCATAGCTTTGGCACGATATTGGTCGGATGCCTGATTATCACTTTTAGTGGTGTCAACAAGACCCATTGTTTCCACGTGGATTTCAATCGAAGGAGTTAAATTCAAGTTTAAAAATATTAGATATTTTTTTAGAAAAATAAAACCCTTACCCTGTTTACCTATCTATAGCAGCTCGAGTTGGCAAAGTCTCGTGCTGATAACATTTTCTAAAATAACTAACTAACAAACTAACATTAATTAATAATCTAAAAAAAAAAGAACAAACAAATAGAGAGCTTAATTTCTTACAACCTCTATATCATTACATTTGTGAATGAGTATTTATAGTCAATAAGTGATATACAAACTAACACTTAGCCATTAAGAAGTGATGACACTTCAGAAATGGGTGGCCCTACATCACATTCATTTAGCATGGCAAGTGATGACAGTTAAATGGGTGGCCCCACATGACATCCACCTTAGGTTTATCATAACTATAAATATATAAAAAAAAATAACAAAAACAAAAATATATGTGAGTTTTTTCTTTGTTACGTTTGTTTAACATCATCTTCTTTGTATAGTGTTTTGGAAAGTTAAGGCGTCCACTTCCGGAAGAAGAAAACTATTATTCACCTATTTTAGAATTTCAACGTCACTTTTTTCATCCATAAATTAGTTTAATTGAATAAAGAACCATCTCTTTCACTTTTTCTTTGTCACTAACTTTCGGAATTCCTTTTATTAAAGTTGGGGTAGGCGATAGCTAACCATGGATTCTATAATTCATTGGGCTTTCATTCAGAGATAGATAAAAAAAAATCACATTATAAAACTTGTTTTTTTATATTTTCATTAGAAAAAAAAAGTTTCCTTATATTTAAGTAACTTATTAGTAAGAACAATATTTTTAAAAACATTTTTGATCGATTAAATATTAATATTTTCCTCCTTACAAAACACATCGAAGACACATATCGATGGATAAAGAATCTTTAAACCTGTTACTATACATATCACTTTTGATTATTCTTCTTGTCCATTCAAGTAGACCATGTGATTCATTTTGCTCTTCTTCTTTTTTTCCAATTAATTCTAAGGAAAAGTGGAGTGGAAAATTAATAATTCACACAAACAATTCTCTTTCATTTTCTTTATGTTTCTTCAT